CTCTTTCCTGCTTATGCAGGGGGTCGGACTCGATGATCTATTGAGGTCCCTTCCGACCCTAACATCTATGAATCTATGAATCCCCAGGTGCATCGCCTTGCACTTGTCTGTGTTGAACCCCATCCTGTTCTCCTCCGCCCATCCTTGTAACCTGTCAAGGTCCGACTGTAGCCTGTTGCTCCCTTCTATTGTGCCCACATCCCCCCACATCTTGGTGTCATCAGCAGATTTGAACAGGGTGCTTTGCACCCCCTCATCCAAATCACTGATGAAGATGTTGAAAAGGGCAGGGCCGAGGACCGGGCCCTGCGGGACCCCACTGCCCATGTCCTTCCAGGCCGAGAAGGACCCATCCACTACCACCCTCTGGGTGCGGCTCTCTAGCCAGTTGGCGACCCATTGGACTGTGTGGGTGTCTATGCCACAGTCCCCCAGTTTCCTAATGAGAACGGGGTGAGAGACAGTGTTGAAAGCCTTCCGGAAGTCCAGGAAGACTTTATCCACTGCTACCCCTGCATCCAATGATTTAGTGACCTGATCGTAGAAGGCCACCAGGTTGGTCTGACATGACCTGCCGCTGATGAACCCGTGCTGGTTGCCCCTGAGCATGCATTTCCCTGTTGGCCCCTCCTGGATGTGTTCCGTTCTTCCTTATTGCGCTGGACGTGGTGGGTCCCCTCCCTAAAAGTTTGGCAGGACATCAGTATTTATTGGTTATCATAGATTATGTGACCCAGTTCCCCGAGGCAGTCCCTATGCAAACTGTCATTGGGCTCTGGGTGGTGGAAGAACTTCTAAAATGGATTGCCTGGGTAGGCATGTCCAAAGAAATTGTCATGGACCAAGGGTCTAATTTTATGTCAGGGGTTCTGCGGCGTCTGTGCAGGGTACTACAAATTAAACAACTCCATACAACTGTATACCACCCCCAAACCAATGGGTTAGTGGAAAGGTTTAATGGGACCTTGAAAAATATGCTGTGGTGGTGTGTGCAAGCTGAGCCCTGTAAGTGGGACCTGATGATTCCGTTGCTGTTGTTTGCGGCATGGGGGACCCCACAGTCATCTTTGGGGTGTGCCCCGTTCAATTTAGTATATGGACATTGTCCAAGGGGCTTGTTAGACATGGTGAGGGAAGGTTGGGAATAAGTACCTCAGGAGGGCATGAACCACATAGAGTATGTGCAAGAATTAAAGCAGTGCTTGTAGAGGGTGGCAGAGCTGTCATGTGAACACTTGAAGGTAGCACAGAGTACTCAAAAGGCTGCCTATGACAAGAAGACTCAGGGAAGAAGCATTCAAGTAGGCCATAAGGTCTTGGTGTTACTCTTAGATACTGAGAACAAACTCCTAAGGTGTTGGCAAGGGCCTTTTGAGGTGGTTCGGCAAGTTGGCCCCGTTGATTATGTGGTATATAAACCAGGGCATAACAGAGAGGCAAATATATCATGTTAATCTTCTTAAGGAGTAGAGGGACCAGGAGGGTCTGTTGATTGACCCCTCTCCACCGGACGGGGAGTTTGGTTGGGATGTGGGGATGGACCCGAAGCAGAGTGCTGAGGGGATAATCGTCTTGGTTGGGGTTCAACTCAGTCCTCGGCGACAACAACAGTTGAGGGCTTTGGTGGATGAGTTTCAAGACATTTTTAGTGAGGTTCCAGGATATGCTAGAGGGATAACTCATCAGATAATAACCCCTGTGGGACAGATTGTCAGAGAAAAATGGAGGAGGATTCCCCACTATAGATATGAGGCTATTCAGACAGAAATTACTAAAATGTTGGAACAGGGCATCATTCAGGAGTCGCGAAGTCCGTGGTGCAGTCCCATTGTGGCAGTGACTAAGCCTGATGGGTCGTTGCGGCTATGTGTGGACTTCAGGAAAGTGAATGCCATATTGCAATTTGATGCTTTTCCCATGCCTCAGATTAGTGAGCTGCTGGAAAAAGTGGAACAGACCAGGCTTATCTCAACCCCGGATGTGGCAAAAGTGTATTGGCAGGTGCCACTGTGGAGGGAAGATAGAGCCAAGATGGCATTTGACACTCTGTGGGGCTTGTATGAATTTAGATGGATGCCTTTCAGGCTACATGGGGTGGCAGCTACCTTTCAAAGGTTAATCGAGTGGGTGTTGGCCCCACATCAATAATACGCCAGCCGCATACATAGACAATATTATTATTTATATGCAAGGTTGGGAGGAGCACCTAGAAGCAGTTAAGACAGTGCTGCAGGAATTATGCCAAGCCGGGCTCATGGCCAACCCAAAGAAATGTGTCCTGGGTAAGGCAGAGACGAAATACCTAGGGTTTATGGTAGGTCAGGGACATATTCACCTGTTAGCTGACAAGGTAGAAGCCTTGTGTAATTATAATCCCTGCCAGAACTGCAAACAGCTGAGGGTGTTCTTAGGTCTAGCAGGGTATTATCATCGATTTATACCCCAGTTTGCAGAAATTGCAGTGCCCTTAACTGACTTACTGCAAAGGAAGAGTAAGGCCCCCCTTAAATGGGATGCAGGGAATAAGGCAGGCATTTGAGAAGACAAAAAAAGCCCTCTGTCATGAGGCAGTGTTGGAGACTCCGGACTTGGAATCACCTTTTACCCTACAGACGGATGCCTTGGATAGAGCATTAGGCACTGTTTTTTCGCAAGAAGTTAATGGAGTTCTCTGGCCCATAGCCTATGCCACCTGGAAGCTGAATCCACAGGAGAGAGGTATGTGATGGTCGAGCATGAGTGTTTGGTCATCAAAGAGGGTGTCGAGTCCAGAGGAGAGCCACATGCATGATCAGGGGGCAAGAGAATATGCCTTATGATGAAAGGCTGAGAGCCATGGGACTCTTCAGCCTGGAAAAGCACAGGCTCAGGGGTGACCTGGTGGGTGTCTATAAGTTCAAAAGGGGTGTGCATCAGGATCTGGGGGAATGTCTGTTCACCAGAGTACCCCAAGGGATAACAAGGACCAATGGTCATAAACTCCTTCATGACCACTTTAGGCTGGACAAAAGGAAAAACTTCTTTACTGTCTGAGCCCCCAAGGCCTGGAATAGACTCCCTCCAGAAGTGGTGCAGGCACCTACTCTGGACTCATTCAAGAAACGATTGGATACTTATCTTAATGGGATCCTTTTACCCTAGCTGACTTCCTGCCCTTGGGGAAGGGGGCTGGACTTGATGATCTTCAAGGTCCCTTCCAGCCCTAATGTCTATGAAACCTATGAAATCTATGACAGAGCACAAATGGATAAACTCTCTATGTCTCATAACCTTATGATTGAGAAGAACTGTGTTATATGTGAGACATTTAAAGAAGACATTGCTAGTGTTGTGCCATGTTTTCATTATACAACCTTGACCCTAGTAAAACTCCTGATCTTGGGTACATTGTAAGTATAACATTTTTGGCAAAACTCACGATTCAAGCTAGCCTAGGGTTTTTCATGAGTGTGAGTGTGAAGCATGTGAAGGTAAGGTTTTCCTGGTTCCTGCCTAAAATAAGGGAAAAACAGAGCAGGTTTGTCCAAACTTGGCTTTGAATTTTAAAATCAAAATGAAATTCCCAGAGATGCAAACCCATCTCATGAAAATTAGAAAAAAAGAGCCTGCTTGAGTCCCTTTGATTAAAAGAATTTGGATTTTTTTTCCGGACTTCTTGCCTTTGATGTTAAATTAATGCACTTGAAGGAGTTCAGCATAAAGCTCTGACTGCTCTGGTTTTCAATTTGATTCCACCTCCATATCCATTAATGAGAAGACTGACATTGATTTGAATAGTATTGAATCAGAATCTAAATGTGAAAGATGGTGGATTTCACTATGAAAGGGCTGAATCATTTTCTAAACTTTTACCTAAATAGATATGACACATTGTTGGCTTTCTGGACCTTCCTAATAAAACAAGAACTTTTCTATCTCATATTGATATTACAGATCTCTGAAGGGTATCTTACAAATACTAATTCCCTGACTTTAAATGTAACTAGTCCTTGTATAATCACTTTCTGCAACAGAGTAAAGACTTCCTAGCATGTCACTTTTTTGTTATCTATAACTGGAGAAAACTTTACTAAATTCTATCTAAAATAGAACTTGGATATAACATTTAAGGAAACTGAATACCTGTATTTGGTCAAAACATCAAGTTAAAGGAATTAATATACTGGTTTACATTTCTACTGAAAAATTTCTCTTTATGTCTGAAATCTGAAATTTTTCATTCTGCATGAATTTGCAGTTCATTTAATGTATTGCAGCTCACAGACATTTATATTCATATTTATACCTTTCAGCATTGTTTGTAAACAATCATTGTAGATGTGTGCAAGCAATCATTGTACATGCAGACACTGTATACAATGTGCTGCATTTAAAAGCTTATCTTGGTCTATCCCAGTTATGCAGTTGGTCTAATAAAAGATATCAACCACAAAATCCTTGCACCTCATTCCTAAAAACTTAAAAATTGCATCCATATTTTGTTTGTTTGTTTTAAATAATACATTTAGAAGATTTAAATTAAAGTAACACTTACTGATCCATTTCCTCTTTGCTAATTTCACCTTCAGATTCAGATGAAGAGGCACCTGTAAAAAAGCAAAAACATTTACTTAGCTTCTTACTTTTTTCAGCAATTTGTGCTATGATCATACATCATTCATTACTGGAATTTTTTGTATAAGCTTCTGAGATCAGAATATTAGATAGCTAAAATAAACTAAAAGACGTGTTGTAAAAATAAGCAAAGTTCTGTGCTGAAATAAATACAGAATGCCAGTAATAAATCTGGAGGCTGGGATTTAAATAAAGAAAACAGCATCCCTAAGTGAATGCCTGACTGGGTATGCTACTGGTTTCCTTATCTGTTACTAATAGGACTAAATTTTTGAGTACTACATGCCCTGGGCCATATAAATTGGAGTTTTGTGTGCTCAGATAAAGGTTTCACTCAGATGTCCAGTACTACCATCACAAAAATATCAAGGTCTGATGACCATATAGGGCATGTCCAGATGAGCTCAATGTGCAGTGGTCCCAGGCACACATGAAGATACTGTAGCTTGGGAGCAATAAACTCCAGTGTAACCTGTGCCAGAGTTTATTCAGGTGCATTCATTACACATGTAGATGCACCCAATGATAACTAGATTCATCCAGAATGGAGTTGTTCTTTCCTCTAGATCAGAGCTTTCCAAACTGTGTGCCACGACACATTAGTGTGTCGGCGGCAGTGTGTAGGTGTGTCGCGCGAAATGCAGAAAATTTTGTGGAAGGGCACCGCGGAGCTCCCTTACTTGCGTCTGCTTCCCTTGGCCCCTCCCCTGGGACTGAATTACTGTGTCGCGAAATGATGCATGTCTAAAAAGTGTGTCACCAACATGAAAAGTTTGGAAAGCTCTGCTCTAGATCATCCCTGAGAACCTGTAAATCTAGTGCTAGTATATAAAATACATCCTACTTTTTAAATGATGTCTTATTAATTGCTTTCTGCAAAGATTTATAACATTACCTTCTATGTAAATCTCGGCAGAAGTTGAGTCTGTCCCATAGATGTTTGAAGCAAAGCAAGAATAACGTCCTGTGTCCTCTTCAAAAGCGTCAACAATAACCAATGAGTGCTGATCCCCTGACTGAACAATCTGAATGTCTGGTGAGTTTTCAAGCTCCTTTCCCTCACAGTACCACCTGTAAGGCAAGCATACATTTTATCATGACAGAAACTTGACAACCAGAACGAGGTCTAACGAACCAGATGGTTTATTGCCTTAAGCAAATAGCTGTCATGGGCAAATTAAATTGACAGTGAAAGAATAAACAATTTATGTCTTTGGAATATGTAATTACAGCAAATAGTGTAGCTGTTTTTATATGGCACTTACATCATATTAACACAGTTTATTTAAAACACCAAGAAGTATGCTTCAGGAGCAACTTTTTTTCCAGGTTTTGGGATATAAAAGAAAGGACTGGAGAGAAATGAAGAGCTCTTTTTTTCAGGTATAGGGGTTTAACAGGATAAAAGAAGAGAAAGAGCCCATACTTTGGAGTTCTGTTTCAGTTTCTTTTCACATCACATGAATTAGATTACATTTACTTGAATAAATTGATATACAAGGTGTATACATTTTTGGAATATATTTTGAGAGCGCCAAAAACAATTTTATTGGCACTATGAAGCTTCTCTTTGATCCTTTTCTCTCAGTTTGTTTATGTAACTCTAAAATTCAGGTGGCATCCTTTCCTGATGTTCATTATATGTGGTGTGGGAGACTGGGACAACAGACTGGATCAGTGTTTCCTTAGTAAAGATGGTTATTCCTCCTTATTATGTATGTGATATGCTGGTTTTTTGTAGTGATGTTTGGCAACTGAAAAAAAAAATTAGCAGATGAGATAGGGTACTCTCAGTAGGCTGAAGGTGGCTTCTTACCTATTACCATATTTTATCACATACAGCACAGACTGAAATAAAATGCACAACCTTATTTTTGAAAGTCAGAATGAAGGAGAAAACATCTTTCCTTGTAATAATTAACTAAAGGTGTGTACAAAAGTTCAGGCAGAATGTTGGAGAGGCGCTCTATGCTGGTTTACACAAAATGCCATGAGTTAGAGCACCAATGAACCCAAGAAGGGTCTTGTGGGGGCTGGGCTGGGCCCGCAGGCAGGGGGGCTCCATTTTCCCCAACCCTGCTCCAGCTCTGGAGATGCCAGCCTCTCCTGCTGTCAAGATGCTCATGCAGAGGCTGGGGGTGTGTGGGAAAGGAGCCTCCTCTGTTGAGTGTGCACAGGTCTTGGGGGGTGGGGGGAACAGGTTTGGCCCGTGTGGTGGGGGATGGGTTCCCTACCCCCCTGCGCTACCCATGTGAGTGTCTTGATAGCAGCAGCCTCATGCCTACTGCACCCAGAGCTGGGGAAGGGCACGGCAGGGAACGGAGGCCCCCTGCCTTGTGACTGCTCCCCATTTCCCCCTCAAAACCCCAGTAGGGGTAGGTGGGGAGGCATGTACAGCAAGGGAACCTCCCTTCCCCCCTCCTGGTGCGAGCCCCCCTTATGCACACACCCAATCACCTCCTGCCCATGGCAGGGGACCAGACTTGATGATCATATAGGTCCCTTGCGGTCCTTCTATTCTATGATTCTATGAAAACTGGAGCCTGGCCAGCCAGAGCCATGCTTTGCCTGCTGGTTAAGTTCCAAGCTGCAGGAGTGACGCAGCTGCAGATTCTCCGGCATCTAGGACCCCAGGTAAGCCTGCTAGGTGGCCCCCAGCCTCCTGTACCCCACCTGAGGTAACCTGCTGCATGCCAGAGGGTGCGTGGCACAGGCATTCCCTAGGGACAATTAGCAGCAGCACAAGGTGTCCTGCTGCTAGTTGTCCGTAGGGAACCAAATATCTACACTTATTTGGAGTTGGCCACCGAGTGCCAGCAGCTAAGCCTGCTCACCGAGTCAAGCCTGCTCACTATTCTGTTCCCTGTGAGTCTTGAGCAGATTTTACTTTTGCTTTTGCCTGGTAACTGGCAGAAACTGCTCTTCCTGTATTTCTTGCATATGATGCCCACTATCATTTCCAGCAGCTGGTTTTTGGAAAAAAAATATGTATTGTATGTAAGAAAGTATGGTATCTGTCTTCCAGACACAGCTCTGTCAAATCATAAAGTGCAGATCCAGGTTTGAACTCCTCCCAGGATGTATACAGATCACTGTTTTGGTTTAGGCTCATTTCTACTTACAAGGAGTAAATTACTTGGTAAAAAAATCTGCCTTAAGCTTTATCCCTATAAAGTGTCATAATAAGTTTGGAACAAAGTAAAGCAGAGCTGGAATTTACTGTAATATTGCTCTTTTCACTGTCACATAATGCTGCATTTATAACCACTTCATAATTTAAGAAGAAGGTGTAGGGATAATATTTATATGCCAAGGAAAAAGAAGTTTTCTATTTCTATATAAAATATTCCCATGAAGAAGTACAGTTCAGGCAGTTGGGCTCTGTGCCATAATCTGAACCCTCTTGCCTTTTAACCCTAGTTAGGAGGTTGCTTAGGTTTAATACTCCGGTTGAATAAGCATCTTGGAAATATTACATTTCAATCCAACGTGTGGCATACATCAGACAGGATGAGAATTCTGGATAATCTTCAGAAAAGCCTCCTGGCAAAAGAAGGGAAAGGCAGCTCATGGCACTGGAAGATAGAATCTAACAGAACTGTAACCCATAACTGAAAGCTGAGCCCCAAGGGAGTGTTGTAATTAGTGCAGTTTTAGAAACGTGTAGTAAAAAGCAGAAATTAAATACTAATTACATAACTGAGGAGAAATCAGCTGCCATTTGTGGCCCATTAATCTTAATGTGGTCTTTTTAAAGTGGAGAGGGTATTCCTTAATCTATTTTGCGCTGGTTTTAGTTTAGATCCATGCCTGTGGAGTCAGTTGACATGAGTTTACAGCTTGTGAACCATAAAGTTATTGGCTTGGTGGCATGAATCTGATTGCTTTGTGTTGCTTTCCCATTAGAAGGACATTCCTTTGTACTGGAGTGTTGGAGTTCTAAGGTTAAATGACTGTATGTATCACTTTTGTGCTTTCACATGTCTGCTTTGCTTATCTACTTTTAGAAGTTACCAGCAATGACTATAACTAGTACTATAAATTGATCTAATTAACAGGGATCTTCATTTTTCCTGATAAAAAGATTTGCAAATTCTCTAACCCCCTCCCCCTGCCACCCCCCCAAAATAAAAAAAATCTATGATTAAAATGAAAGGCCCCTCAACCCCCTGGCCCTGCTGTGGCCTGTCAATCCCTGTTAGGGAGGGGGCGGGGGGGGAGGTGCAGGAGGAATATGATGGTGGTGGGGGCAGTGACATGCCAGTGCCCTGCCTCTGCCCATTCTATTGCCCCTCACTGACAAGCCACACACCCCGACCCCTTGCTGGTGCTCCTCACTCCTGACCCACAGCCCCCTAGCACTGCCAGTGCCCTGCACACCCAACCCACAGTCACCCATCCTGTCCCCCATGCCCTTCATTCCTGATCTGCAGCCCCCTGCTCCCCTCCCAGCCCTGCCAGTGCCCCTTACTCCCAACCTGCAGTCCCCTGCCCTGCCCCCCCAGCCGTGCTGGTGCCCCTCACTCATGACACA